ATTTCAAAATGATACGTGTAATTGAATCCACCAAAAGGAAAAATAAACGTGCAAATATTCAGCACTTAACACTGCTCAAAATGTAAGTGTAATTCATTGATTCTGTTTAGATTTCCCTGATGAAGTTTTTTAAATTCTATTAGTATTAGAATCACATATCAGAATCAATTAGTGGTAACAATTTTTATTCTTTATAGTAATATAGTACGATAAGAGGCCTCTGTCAACTGATACTTTTTTTTTTTTTTGTGCAGCTCTAATAGAGGAGATTTTTTTTCTGTTTAAGTGGTCTTCTATCAAGACTTAAACAAGTTGAAACTCAATTGTATGAGGATTCAAATAATGACGTTCTACGTTATGTTCTGCTCTCCAATGATTTAGTGCTTTCTGGAGAACTGAGTAAAAGTGCTAAAAAATCTTTATTTGTTTTCATATTGATATAAGAATAAACTTGAACCATTCATACAGTTAAAAATTACCTCACCTTAAACACTGCACAACTGAAAACGAGTATAACTTATCTTTTTTCTTTTTTTGTAAAATACAATAAAATGATTATTAGACTGAGAGGTATTGAGCTTTAAAAATTAATACATTACATAAAGATACACAAAAAATTTTTAAAATAAAAATTTACATCTTAGGCAATTATGAAATACTCAAAGCTATCAAAGAAAAAAAACTAAGATTTCTGATTGAATTTTTGCAGCATATTTAAAATTTGATTGATCAGTAATTTTTTATTATAGAAAATCGGCAATATTACTACAAAAATGCTGTTTGTAGCAAATCATCAAAAGTTTCTAAACAGTAATCAAACCTGTCCGGTTCAAATGATCACTGACAAAATTGCTTTTTCGTTATTCAAGCTCAATAATATACTTTCAGAAAAACCTTACTTTTTATACGGCCATTTTATCATTCTTTCCAGTTATCCCTAAAACGAAAGAAAAAAAAAAAAGAAAACAAAAAATTGGAGAAGAAAATTTTTGCCAACATAACAAAGAACTTTTTTGTTATGTCCCTTAATTATGTAATTTTTTTTTTTCTTGCATTATTTTCAGTATAAATTTAAAAGTTTTTAACAGGAAAAAGATGGTTACAAAGAGCAAACAGAAAAAGATTTGATGGTTTTTTAGAATTGCAAAATTAAAGGAGCATAAAAATTTTTTTTTCAACTCAATGACTACCAACAAAACACTTTTCATCATTTATCCTGCATTTTTGTTTTCTTTTTTTTTTTTTTCGTTACTTTCGTTTAGACGACCATTACAGGAAAACAAATTTTACGAGCTTTTCCGGTTGTTGATACTGTTAGCTTCTGTTCTAAGTTTGATAAAACTGTTTGACAGTGTTTGATCAGTTTGATATGACAAAGCATACAATAGAGATGAAGAAATAAACAACAGTAATTTGCAGTAATATCAATAAGAAGAAAAAAAAATTTAACAATGGTCAATCAAAGTGTATCGGTATTTTTATGAGGTATAGTTGCAAAATATTACATGCAAAATTGAATAACTGTTAATGATTTCAATATAAAAAGATGAGTTTTTTCTTCTCACTGATCAGACTGCTACTTCTGATTTTTTTTTCCCTATCGTCATTTCTTTTAGTTCATTAGAAATGTCACAATTAAGTTGCGAAGAAAAAACTACAAATTTGTACTTAATTATTCAACTGATATTTATCATTCTTTTATTTTGAAGGTGGTGGAGGAAAGAAGAGGTTGAACTCATCGTCTTTGCTCACTAAGTAGAGAAAGTGTTTTTTTTTCTTCAGTTTTTATTTCCGTAGCATTAGTTGATGAAATTCTTCAGTTTAACCTTTATCAACAGTGATCATCGGCGACAAAATTTTCATAGGTTGTTTCTATAAAAAAAAAAAAAAAAACTAATTAAATTTTCTTCTTTTTCTCGACGTCATTGATTAAATCTATAGTTTGGTTGTCACTTTCTAAAATATCCACTACCTGTTTTGAGACACCTGAAGCTGAAATTGAACTGAGCAAAGTAAAGCATAAGAAAAGACTAAAGTTTCAGTCACATCACCTTATATTTGTTTAATTTATTTCCATGCAAATTTTTTGATGGTCATTGAACGCATTCCAAAAAATGGTTTGGCCACTGGATTATCTGCTCAATTAATCTATTCTTACAACTAAAGAAAATTTAATGATTGAACAATCTGAAATTCTTTTGGCTCAAAAAATCTAAATAAAACGCTTCTAAAAGGAAAAGGTTACAGTTTTTTGCTGATCACTCATATTGCCTAAACAGTGTTCAAAAACAGTTGAAGCAAAAAAAAAAAGGAAACGAGGATCAAGAAAATTACGGAAATCTCAATACAACGTCAAAGGAAACGCTAACAGTGACTGAACAGTCAGTTATTTTGACATATTTGAACGATATTGGAAATCAAAAAAGGGAAGTGTCATAAAAAGTTTGAAAAAAATTTCTCCTTTTTCAGGTAACTCTACAAGCTCTAATTTAATGAATGCTGACAATAGCCTTCTGTGTTATTAAGGCTAAGCATAGTTAATTTATTGGTTTCCCCATCTATCCGTTCATTTCACTCATCTATTCGCTCCTTACCAATAGTACCGCACCATCTATTCGTCTTCACTTCCGTTCATCGTCGTTTCGTTCGTTCACCAACATCCCATAGAATTCACTCACTCCACTATCTACTTTTTTAATCTTACTCCTAAACATAACTGTCAACCAAAAATAGACAAATATGTAAAAATTTACTGAACAACTTTCTTGAATCCAATGATACTGATCAATTAGTCGTCGTTGAAAGTTACTTTTTACAGCAAAAAAAAAAAAAGAAAAACAGTAGATGCACGTAAAAACAAAATCAACAATAGTCAGTTATTATTTGCATATATTTATATCCTATATATACGAATGCAAGTGTCAACTATTTAAGTATATAAATATTGGTTTTTGAGGTATATTTTTGAATAAACTGTTTGAACCACACCCATGTAAGCTTGTTCTCAGTCTTCACCCAACAATTTTTTAACCTTACACTGCAACTATTTGCGGAAAAAGAAGAAAAAACAAAGATGACAGCAGTAAAAGAAAGAGCGTAATTGTTGTTCTTTTACCAGTTTTTGAGCTTTTCAAAGCTTGATTTTAGAAAGCATAAGAAAGATAATGTTTGAAAAGAAAAAGCATTGAACTTGCCCATTAAAGTAACTTTATGTGCTATCACAGCAACGACGATGAACCTTTTTGAACAATTAAAAAGTAAATAACTCATTTTTGTTCATTAAGTATAATCTTATTTCATTTAATTTCCTTTCATTTTAAAAGTATTCCGTAACTTTAAGTCGCCAAATTTCGACTCAATGTGAAGTGGACATCCTTTACTATTCTATCCTGTACTTTCACTTCTGTCTTCTCCTACAACTTTTTTGCGCTTAGACATTTGTAAGCATTTTTTTGCTTGTTTCTCCTGTTTTTCCTTTGAAATTTGTAAATGCGTAATTTTAATATTTTACGAATTTCGTATGGTAAATTTTTTAGCAGAATAAACCATACAACACTTGATTAATGAATGCATTTCCTTTTTTAAACACCCGAGGAAAAAGGAGTAGTAGGAATCACAAGAGAAGAGAAATGAAGAAAAAAAAAAGTATGATTACTACTTTCGACAGCTGTACTTAGCGTCCCCTTAACTGACACTAACATCAACTATCCGGCGTTTTCAGTGTTGCAGTTTGTTAATCAGTAATTCGGCCACTACTTCCTTCCCTAATATTTATACAAGCTTATCACCAAAACGAGGAATACAGCGGCTGCCAAAAATTAGTCCTTTTTTAGCCGCAGTACCGCAGAAAACTTAATCAGGCGCAGAGTGAACGTACAACAAACGCCCCGCCAGGAAGCCTCTTTCCGGTTTGCGCTACTGAGAGGGCCTGTCAACCGCCACTTAAATTACAACTTGTCATACTTATCGTCTTTTGCAACGAATGTTTACAAATCTAAATGCTTAAGCCCACATTGTCAACAAATATAATCTGATTAAAACCGATTTAGGTGCTCGTATTCAAGAATGCATTCATTAGCAGCAAAACAGTCAGATAATGATGGACTGAGTAATTGTGCTGATACGGCACATCACTTTCTCCGTTAATCAGGTTTGTGAACCGGAGATGTCATTTAAAGGCTTAATCGCTAAAGAAATGTAATCATTCAAAAAGTTTTTTCCGTCTGATTTTTTACAACCAGCTTCTCTTGCTTCACCCCCTCAAAAAACATCGTTATTTCTTTTCTACTCATGATATTATCTCGTTTAATCAAAAAAGTTCTCTAGCACCAAAACAAAAAAAAAAGCGCATCTAGTTATTTTTTGACCAACAGTCTATTTTTTGAAAGAGTGTTAAGAATAGAAAAAATTGGCATTTAACAGTTTGAACTAAATTATTTTTACGGTTGTAAATGGCAATCTTCAGCTAGCTGTTACATGAGAAACAATAAGGTTTATAAAGCCATAAAAATTTACTATTTTAAAGTGAGAAGTCGTTGAACCACTAGAAACTTCTATATTTACATATCAAGTATTTTATTAGAATAGTGACTAAGCAGCAAATATTCGAAACCGTTTTGTCACTGCATAAAATTTTTCAAAATCACCTTCCTTTAATGGACATCCGAACGAACTTAACAAAGACGGATTATCTGCAAAGAAGCACCGCTAGATAAAAGACTGCAGCATTAGTGAATAAATAAAAACCCATTAAAATCATGTCATCTACAAGCCGCTTTTATTAAATTTATTATGCTACAAACGGAAAGTACGTAGAATGAATTAATTTTATTTCGTTTAATCAAAAAAGTTGTCTAACATTAAAACGTAAGAAGAACGGTATCTATAGGAAGTGGAAACAATAAAATGGAATATCAAAACTCTTCGACCAAAACATGCTGCTTTAAAAGGGACTATTAAAGTCAAACTTTTTGTCAGATTCTAAGGCTATAGGTCGTTATATCTCTAGCCTTTCTGAACAAAATCAATGTTAGAAAATATTCACTTACCAATAATAAAATCTATTTGAGGTATATGAAAGAGACCGTGCAGTCCAAGAGACTGTTCATTTTCATCGGATATCAAAAACCAAGGAGTATCGTAAACCTGTTAAAAGTGTCTATACAAATAAAACTGACTCCCAATCGAGTAAATGAAGATAAGCCTGTAGCAGCTCAATTACCCCTTGAGACATGGCGAAGCTAACGTTTTGCCGATAAGATCTAACGTTATCGGGACTTTCTGTCTTTGAAACCATGTCATCAGCTTCTCGAAAAGACAACCCAGCTTCGCGACAAAACTGAAAAAAAGAAATAAATTTTTTCTAAAGACACATTTTTATTTCGACAAGAATGTAAAGGTCCAAGAAATTCCCAACTGTTACAATCCTCTTTGAACTGAGTTTACACGCTAGACGCGCTTTTACAAACCCCAACTTTTAGAAACTAGGATTCTGAACTTGAAGACTGAAAAACTTTGTTTTAATACTCTAAATCTGTACCTCAACTATGAAATTTCACATCTAGTGGAAGAAATGAGTGGGAGTGTGAAGACAAGACCTTCCATATGAATAAACCAATTTTACTAATCATAAAACAAGAAATTCTCAGCTTCCACCCATTTTCAATGAAAGTGACTATCCTACTTCTCCAGCTAAATGGTTCGCCAAAAACAAGTCAAGTAAAAGCTCAAAGCTCCATTAAGTCCCTCGACAACTTCTTATTTCAATTAATTCCGGTCCTTCTTCTTGCAAAAACGGTAATCAAAAATTTCTTCATCTGATTTCATCTGTTCATCATTCAATAAAGAAATGCAGTTTTGTAGAACCCTTGCTAAAATTGCACTCAACTCTTAATAAAACCGCAAGTAGAAATTACAACTCAGCCACCATTACTTAGCTTCCCCTTCACCCCAAAAAAGAAATCCTTCAAAACAAGCAAAAACTGGAAGCAAAAAACTCAAGATATTTCAAGAAAAACTAAGCGCAAGATCTCCAAGACAGTAAAAATTGTCAGACGGCACTAAAGACAATCTTGGAAGAGATGAGATGAAGTCCTTCATAGGATTCACAGCCAGAACCAAAATGCAAGTCTCATTAACTTACTTCCCGCACTGTACGTGGTCAGTCAGCGCCTTAATTCCCAAAACATTTCGAAAGAAAGTTTTGAACCAGTATATGTCACTTTTCTCCTGAGAAGAATCGTCACAGGTTAAGTACTTCTAAATACTTTAAAACCCAGCATCAGGACGAATTTTTCACATGGCGGCAGTAAAATGTTCGACCTCGTTGCCAAGAAGCACCAGCAGAAAGCACAACTTGTCCTACTGCTTTCTAAACGTGCTATAACCCTTATAATCTTTGAAACGTTTTCTTCAAAAACAAATTATTTCACTCCACATACTTCAACCAAAAAGCCCATGTATTTTAGTACTGAGAGTTAGAAAAATATTTAAGCAAACAAGGAACGAACGCAGTGCTTAAAACATTCTCGATCAACAGATTCCAATTCAGCCATCTCTACTCGACCAAAAAGTTTATTCAAACGCTCCCTACATTACGCCGTTCAATTCTGTATTTGCTCTATCTGTTTACAACAGCCTTCAAACCGTTCTAAATTACCAACCCCTCTGCCAAAGTAAAAACGCAAAAAAGTCAAATTGCGAGGGGAAATCGATGTAATTGCCGGTTATAACAAAAAAAAAAA